CCGCAAACACTTCCTTCCTTTCCTGCTAGTAATGACTCCTGAGTGGCTGATCAGAGGACCACAAAGAGAAGCCTCCCCGCCCTTTCCTCTTCCTCTCTTCCATTTCTTTCTCCCTTCCTCCCCCACCCCATCCTTCCCCAGGCCCTTTTCTTTCCTTCCTCCTCACCCCACCTGCTCCTCCCTCCCTCCCTCCCTCTCTGGCTTCCACTTCCTCCTCTGCTCTCTCCCTCCAAAACCCTTAATGCTGATTCACCCTAGGCCAGGGCAGTTACTTTTCTTAATGTTTTCAGAAAGCCCTTGTTGCAAGTGTCTGGACCAGGAAGGGCACACACTCACACACCCCTAGCCACTCACACCTGCTTGTGCCCCACACCCTCGTACACCCACAGCAGGTGCTGCGCCCAGCTGCACACCTAAGACAGCACCTGCCTCCCCTGGGGGTTGGGTGGGGGAGGGATTTTCCACCTTGGATGTGATACAGGAAATGGCTGGGAGAGACAGGAGAGCCCTTTGCGGAAGCCAGGCATTACGGCCATCATTACCACTATTATTATCCAATCCATTGCTGGACACTTGACCTGCCTGGGAATGATCACAAAGACCTCAGCAGGAGGCTCTTCAGGGCATAGATCTCTTGACTGGGGACAGCCAGGAGAGGGGTCAGCCCAGAGTCCTCAGAGATCAAATCTCCAGGGCCCCACCCAGGAGGGCAGGAGGTAGAGATATGATGAAGGGCCATTTGCCAGGATTGAGTATTTGTCAGCCCAGGAGGCTGGATGATGAATTAACAGGGCTTTAATGAGCTCAGGGACGGGGAGCCACACTTCATTGCCCGAGCACTGGCGCAGGATGGGAGGTGGAGGGGAGAAGTGATCAACCTCACCCCCCTTAATGTGACCAACGGCAGTTTGCCCATCAGAAACAATTCAGTACTGCCAAGATGCTGATCTTACCTCATGGAGTCCAGCAAAGGCCTTCCCCAGGGTGCTGGCCCATCCTACTACCTTACTAGCAAGGCCTTCCTTATACTTTGTCCTTCCTACCAGCACAGGAAGGTCCTTTACTCCTGGGGCATGAGGGAGAGTGAGATCCATTCCCCCAGGGGTGGGGGGGGAGTGCACATCAATTCCTTCCTTCAAGCTGGGCCCCTCAGTCCAGCCCCACTACTGTCATCCACCCCCACCCCTACCCGGGCACTTGGTGGAGTATGGTCCCCAGGAACACTCAACAACAATGCCAGGCTTGGCCTCCTGGCACTAACTCTGCTGGCTGAGATCACTCAGCTCATGTGGACATTGGTCTCTCTCTGCACTTCTGTCTCCGGTCCTTGGGGAGCCTGAAAGGTAAGGGTAGAAAGAATGCATTGTATTCTAGATCCAGCTTTGCTGTGTGGTCTCAGGCATGTCACTTCTCCTCTCTGAGCCTCAGATGCTCCATCAGTAAAGAAATATTCAAGGAGTCCCTTCCCGCTCTGTTATCCTGGAATTGTCCCTCTAGCAAGGGGTTAGCTTATCCTAGGATGGTGGCTGCAGCTCCTTTTGATTCTGAAGCCAAAGGCTGCCCTTAGCACTCTGAGCCTCAGCACAGCGGTCCCTTGTGTGGGGGTATGGTCCTGGGGTGTGAGTGGAGAAAAAGAGAGAATTCTGGGCGTGGAAAAGACCCTGACCTTCATGAGTTCCAGGTCCTGCTTGGATGCTGGTCTTGCTTCCAGATGTGAGCTGGGAAAGAAATGGGAGCTATTGAGGCCCTCCCCTTGCCTTTTCCTGAGTGGCACCTACAGGGGTGCCGCAGGTTTGTCAGACCCCAGAACCTCCGGAAGAATCCTTGTTAGAAGGGAGGAGTAGTGTTGAGAGTTCTGCAAAATGCTCTGCAGGCTGAGGGTTGAGGGGTACAGGGCCAATCTTGCCTTACCGACCACTCAGGCTGAGCAGCCACCCAAAAGGAAAAAAACATCTCAGAAGAGAGGACCCTTAAGCACTGCCCTTGGGTGGAAACACTGATGACTTTGGGACCCCCTGGACTCTCATCTCCGGGAACCTTCTCTGGACCCTCCACCATAAGCACAGCCCCTCCTGCTACAGCCTCCCGAGGTAGAGTGGCTTCTGACTGTCATACTGGCTGAAGCCTTGAGTTTTTGTCTGCCAGAGTTCTGTCTACCCTTCCCCTGGGAGCTCCAGGGAGGGCAGGGCTGTGCCTTTGGACCCTCTTGGGTATCTCTGATGCCTGGCCCAATGTTTGGCACAAGGTAGACGCTCACTATGTATCTGTTGAATGAACGCAGCAATCGAGTGCCTTCCATCACCTCTAGGAGACAGCTCTGGGATGCATCTCCATCTTTGCCTCCAGCCATTCATCCTCCATGGCCCAGTGTGAATGCCACCTTCTTACGGAAGCCCTCCAGTGAAGACCGCTGTTGAGACTACATATCTCATGGTCGTTCAGCTGCCTTCCTGCGGGGCTAGTCCTTCTCCCTTGCCCCCACCCGCACTCGGAGAGGCAGCAGTGCTGAGCAGTAGACTTGTCGGGCTGTGGTCCTGCCCCTCTGCATCCAGAGCTGGCTGTCGCAGTCCTGCACGCAGTAGGTGCTCAGCTCACCTGGGAGCAGAGGAAGTAAGCCAGAGTCCACAAGGCTTTGGCCTGGGCGAAGCAGCCCTGGGAGAGGGGGACTTGGGCGGCTAGCGGACGGGGCGGGCCCGGCCTGGCCCGCTGCCTTTCCCTTTGCCCTTCGACCCAGGAAGCCGCTCACACCCAGTGGACACGCTAGGCGAGCTGCGCTGCTCCATCCCGGCCTCTTCCCGCACCCCCACCCCGTCCCCGGGTCGCCCCCCACCTCTACCGGCCGGCCCGGGCCCCACCCCCTCAACTTCCCTCTCCTGCGGCCGTGTAGAGGCGGGGCGGGCCGGCCTGAGAGTGGCGCAAGGACACTCTCCACACCAAGGGTCATTTGCTCTTTTTCCCCTCTCTGTGGCTAATTTATTTTAGAGCTAGGGGAGGGAGGGGGGCGGGGCCATCCGGGAGGGTTGCGAGGAGGGGCTGGGAGAACCCAGGGGAGGTGGGGGCGGGGCGGGGGCGAGGTGGGGGAGGGCGGGGAAGGAGCCAGGGGTGGAGAGGGCCCGAGAAGGGGCGGGAGTTGGGGGAAGGGAGGGGTGCTAAGGGAGGGGAGGAGCAGGGAAGGGGAGGGGAGCGAGGGCCTGCGAGGGAGGGCTCTGGGGGCGGGCGAGGGGAGGCGGGGGTGGGGGTGGGGGTCCTGCCTGCGGGGGGAGCCGGGGCCGCCCCTTGTCCGGCCACCCCCACTGCCCAGTCCCGCTCCCGGCCGCGGCGGCCGCAGCAGCCGCAGCAGCAGCGGCTCCAGGATGGTCAGCGCCGCTGCCCCCCAGCCCCGGCCTGTCGCCCCCGGCCTGCGCCCCCGCCCCGGTCCCTGGGCCGGACGCCCCCCCAGGCCGCGCACACTCACCTAGGACCCGGCCGGGATGCCGAGGTACAGGGCCGCGGGCCGGGGCGGGGGCAGGCACGGGAGCTCGCGGGCGGGCCGGGGTCAGGGGGTGGTGACCGTTCGGTCCGGGTGTCCGAAGCTTTGTCCGCGGGTGTGGGGCAGTGCGAGGGCCAGAGAGGGCGGGGGCTGCAGGCCATGGGCTTCAACTAGGCGGGGGTCGGAGGGCAAGGCCGGCAAGAGACCGGAGCGGGTGCGTGGGAGCCGAGGGTCACTTCCCGGGGGGAAGGGTCGGCAGAGTAGGGGATCGTCACTCGGCCGCCGACGGGCACCCGCTCCGTCGCCCCTTCTGGTGCGAAGGCTGCAGCAATATCCGGCAGCTGGCTCTGAGAGGAGTCTGTGGGATTGGGGGGTGGGGACCCAGGATTTGCGGGTTCGGGTCCCAAAAGGATCCTGCGTCTGGAGCCCGAGGGCCGGCCCGCAGGCCCCTCCCACTCCGTCAGGTCTTTGTCCAGCGGCCCCTGTGTGTGGGAGGGGGTGGGGGCTGGGTTACTGGCCCGGAGATTCCCCAGCATCGAGACGGGGCAGTGACAGGAGACTGAAGCTACTTCGGGTCCTCGCGTCCCTAACGCCCACCCCCTTCACTTCTTCTCTTCTGGCTGGGAGAGCCGAACCCCCATGTCAGAGTCGGGGTGTTGCTGGAAGCTGCACTTACTTACCTTCACCCTTGCCCTCCAGGCTGCAAGGGGGACCCCTAGGCTCCCTGCTCACTGGGGAGCGCCCACTAAACTTCCCGCTGCAAGAGCCCTCTCCTGGTCTGCAGATTCCCATGCTAGGCACCCTCTCTGTGGAGGTTCCTCCGCGGTGTCGCGCACACAGGAGGTGCTCAGCAAGTTTGGGCCCTTTGCTCCTCTGGTCCCCTTGCCTCTCCTGGGAGAGGGGGCCAGGGAAGGGGTCTGCGCGGGGGAGAGTGTGAGCGGCCTGGAGCCTGCGCCGGGCGGCGGCCCGGAGCGCAGGGGTGGGTGGACGGGTGGGTGGGCTGTTAAAGGGACGGTCACTAAATCAGGATTAGGCCGTAGGGCTGTCAGGCTGCCGGCCCTGTCTCCATGGATACCTAATTTGGAGGAGAATAGAGGACGGAAGAATGTTTGTGTTGTCCTCCGCACGGGCTGCGGCGGCCGGCCGACCGGGTTCCAACCCCACTCTGGGCTTGGGGCGTGGGGGCCTGGAGCCTTCCGGGTGTAGCCGCCAGGTCTCTGGAGGGGGCCAGGAGACGCCGGGTCCCAGCACCTCTGCAGAGGGAGTCCCAGACCGTCCCAGAACTCAGCCCGAACCCCCAGAGCATCCCGCTGGCAACGGCCCCCTCCCCGAGCCTCGCAGTCCGGTAGCAGACGCCCTTCTCTGCTGTGCGCTAGCTCCCCACGGACGGACGCGCCCGCAGCGCGGTGCCGCGGCGACTCCGTGGCCGGGCGCGGGTCCCCGGTGGCCGAGAGCGCAGCGGGGCAGGGGGCGGGGCGGGACTTCCTGGGATGGGCGAGGAAAGGGGCGGGGCCTGCTGGGCGGGCCGGGCCGGCCGGGTGACTGGCCTCATAAATCCCCCTTCCCATATTTAGCACCATTTCATTTATTTCCACTTGATTCTATTGGTGTCCGCAGCAGACAGGAGCGACCCTTATGCCCTCGCTGTGCTGTCTGCTGGCCGAAGGGAATTTAGTTGTGGGGCAGTGGAGTTGCTCCTGCTGATGCCTGGGTACCCCGCGTTCCTGGGGATCCCCGATCCCCAGAAGAGGGGGCTGAGAGACACAGGAATGGGTTTGGCTTCCGAGGCTCTCCCAGATCCTCTGGCCGCGGCATGGCCGTGGGCTGGGCTGGGGATCCCATGAATGGACGATTCCAGTGCAGGGCGTGGAGGAAGGCTGGGGAGAGGGACCCAGACCCGAGTGTGGTGTTCCAGAGCCCTTTCCTGCCTTTCTCCTGGTCATCCATGGCCACAGCTTTTTATGGATCAAGAGTCCCCTCCCACCCCTGCCTGGGCTGCAGCTTTATTGCTGAGATCTCAGACTCTTGCCACGCAATTTCACGCCTCTCTGCTTTTGCTCCTGCTGTTCCCTCAGCCAAATGCCTTCCTCATTGTCCCTGTTTTTCCACAACCTCCTCATTCTTCAAGGCCCAACTCGGATGCCACACTTCCTACGTGCAGCCTCCCCAAGCCCTCTTGTCACTTGCTTCTTCGTCCATGGGTGCCTTGCCCTGCACCTGTGCCTCCCTTCAGCCTTTGTGGCTGGCTCTACATAGGGCTTTGCCTCCCAGAGAACAGAGGTAGAGCAGATACTTCCCTGCCCCCTGTCCCCTGCCCCCACTGGGCTTGGCACAGGGCTTGGCACCTTGTGGTAAGTTTGGTTAGTTGAATAAAAGGGGTTTTGTAAGGGCCTTTAGCCAGGCAATCTGCAAAGCTTACAATTTGGCCACTCAGGCAAATAGCTCTGTGCTCTTGAGTGGTAGAGACCCCTGGGTGGGTCTCCTCTCCCTCCTCCTCTTCCTCCTTCTCCCTGATGACCCTCCCCACCCCCCAAGTCTGGGGAGGACTTTGCCCCTTCCCTTCCCCTCAGACCAGCATTCTTTCCCTGCCATTATCATCCTGTTAAACAGAGGGGCCAGTCAGGATCCATATGGATCACATTAACAATTGCTTATTATCTGGGCAAGACTCCCCCTACTCTCCACCCCTAGCTCCTACTGCTGCAGTTGCTGGACCTTGAGGAGTCCCCCTCCCCTCCCCCCACCATCGGTCAGTCGGGGAGGGCAAGGGACAGGCTGGACTCCCTTACCCTCCCTGTGCCTTTTAGCAGAACTTTGCTTCTTCTTGACTTGGCAGTTAATGACTCCTTTACCCGATTTAATGAAAACCAGGTTCCTCACAGGAGCACAGTTCAGGGAGGTTCCAGGGCTGCAGCAGGGAGAGGTGGACTTCAGATCCTGGTGCACCTGTGGTCTGCAACACTGAGAGCCCCTGACGGCCAGTGGATGGAGGCTGCGGGCTGGGGGACCCACACTAGACTGACTGTGGGGTGTCCTGGCATCTTCTGGGATCTTAGCCTTGGACTGGCTTCCTTCTGGGAGCTGGCAGGCTAGTGAGGAGTGAAAGAGATCAGGACAGAAGATCCTGCAAGGCTCTGTGGCATTGGGTCCCCAGCCTGTCCATGCAGTCTAAGAAGCAAGAAATCTGCTCGGGCTTCCTGGATGGCAGGAGTTGGCAATGAAGGACAGGGAGAGGAATTTATGTTTAAATGTGAATAGGCCAAGAATACTAGGGATGGAAGGGGCCTTCAAGATTACTCAGTCTTGGGGTCCATAATTTTTTGATTTACAGAGCCCTTGGAGGAACTGGTGAAAGTCATCCCTAGAAATCTCCATTTCCATTCATTGACACAAGGCTCTGCATTCTGCTTTAGAAGGTGTGCTCAAACCCCCACCCAAGCCCATTGGGGAGCTATACCAGGAAAGCTTCACCCCAGTCCAGCCCCCTGTAATGTGCTGATGGAAGGGTCAGGCCTGCAGCCTGGGTTTCCTGACCTCCTCACTCAGTGCTTGCGCCCTGGCCTTATTACTGGCAGGGAGACAACATGAGCCAAGGGGCCAGGGGTTGGGGACCGAGGTGCAGGGCCAGCCTTTGAGTGGGAAGGGTTCGTACTGCCTGGGTTGGGGTCTGGGCTAGTCATCTCATCTCTGACTGTATGGCCTGGAGAGAGGCTGTCCAGGGACTTTGTTTTAGGGTCCACTTGTCTCCAGGCACAAGGATGAGTGGCAAGAAAGGGGAGCAGTTTCTTTAGAATCTTGGTGAATCATAGTTAACACTTATAAGCACTTATTAAACTCTACCTCTCTTCTGGGAAATGGAACTAAGAATGGCGTCCACCTCATAAGCATTATTGTGAGGATTAAATGAGGCAGGAGCTGGGAATCCTGCATCCTGGTCCTGAGTGACTCTGTGGGTTTGCGAGGGCCTGGTCAGAAAAGCAGGTGAAAGTGGTCAGGGCCGTGATTGCTGTCAATGCTGACATTTCTCTGGTTTGTCCAGCCAAGGAAAGGAGAGCACAGTGGGAACCACCAGGTGCCTTGCTGTCATTTCCTTTAGCACTGAGGTGTGGACAGGGTCAGACTTTGGCATTCTTCTTGGGGGCTGGAGGTGGAGTGGGAAGTTCTTGGTGAATGGGAGAGTTGGGCAGTGGCCACAGGCCTGCCTCCATAGGGCTATGGCCCCAATCCCATGTTATGATGACCAGTCACGGCCCCCACTCTAGGGACATAGCCCTGAGCTGCAGTGACCCTGCTGCTAATCAGGTGTAACCCTGGACAAGAGACTTCAACTGTTTGGGCCTCAATTTCTTCATTTTAAGAACCTCACATCATGGTGATTTGGACCTTGGTTTCAAATAGTCTGCCCCTTTGTCTGCAAAGCACATGCCCCGCTCTAGTGACCTGCTCAGTGACTCAGGGCCCAGGGACTCCAGAGAACCACATCCCAGCATAGGAGTAAGGAGGAAAAAAAGACATGCATGTGAAAGTTCTGTCCCATGGCAGGTCTTGCGCTCCTTGAAGCCCCCTCCAAAATAGATTAGGGGGTGGGGTATCAGGAGGTGGGTGGGAGGAGAGCCAGCCTGGCTGCCTGGAGGAATGTGGGAGGTGGTAGGATACCTCCCTCCATCCCCTCTCTGCCTGCGCAGACTCAGGCCACCTGGTCCCCAGCCCAGTGCTGTGATTAAACAGGGATGAATGGGAGGATGTAATGAAGAGGCTACACTTTACTTTTAGCACACCTGTATTGAGAGCATCTACACACTGTGTCCCAGCACCATGCAAGGTCCTGAGTGTACCCCAGCTGGACCCCTGAGGGTGCCCAGCCAGGGGCAGCATTCCTGGAGCCCTGAGACTCCCCAGACACTCCTGGGCACCTATGGACCAGGCCCTGAGCTGGGGCTTTCATACCTGGGGTCTTCCTAAACAAGCTTCTTCCTCACATGGCCAAGGAGAGCCAAAGGATGTTCCCAACCCTGGCATTGCTTTGCCACAGGCACCTAGCATGAATCATGGCTGCCAGGCCCTCAGTATTTTCTCCTGGTAGCTGTTCATCCAGCAACCAGTGTTTTCTGATGTGGTGTCACTGTCAGGGAGTTTGCAAGATGTTGGGGACCAGTGAAGAGGCAAAGAGACAGGCCATGCTTTGGGGACCACTGTCCCTGCATTCTTGGAGTAGAAGGAAGCCACTGAGGGCGTTGAGCTGGGCAGTGGCAGGCCGGGAGCTGTGGAGAGTGAACAGGAGGGCTTGGAGCGGGGAGGCTGTGAGGGGAGGACCTGGGCCTTGCACTGGGGGAGTCCTGAGGAGACTGCATTTTCCTGGAGGAGGCTGTGTCAGTGGGAATTAGAAAACTGGGACGAGGGCTACTGCTCAGGGGGAGTCCACCTGCTGCTGACTGCCCTGTTTGACCTTTGGATGCTCAAGAGCCTGGAGGTGTTTGTTCTTTCCAGGCCAGTGGGGAAAGAAAACTGGTGGGAGTTAGGTTATACATGAAAAAGGACCCTGCCTCCACCGCCATGGCCAGTGGTCCCCTCCCCACCCAGCCTGTCTGTTGGCTTCTGCTGGGGCACAGGGGCTCCCTGGGAATTCCCTGGATGCCAGGAGGAATTGGCCGTTCCACCCAGCTCCTCCAAGAGATGGCATCTCATCAGGGATCAGATGAGAGACCCTCACTCCTATAGAAAGGGCTTGTTTTCCAGGCAGACTGTGTCCTATGTGAGCTGGCCACTCTTTTAGCACTGTCTTCCATACTGTAGCCCTCTTCAGGCATAAATTTTGGGGCCTGAGCCCCTCATTGAGAAAGGTGGAACTTCCTAAATGGAATGGGGAAGGCAGCTGGGAGACCAGGGTGGCAGAGGTCAGTTGAGTGGGGACTTGTTGAGTTTGCAGTGTCCATTAGACATGCAAGTGGGGATGACCTGGGAAAACTGTTGAGAGAAGGGGAGGAGCCCTTCCACCTGCCTGGGAGCGCCCCTCCCTGTGAGGACAGCCTCTGACGTTGAATGCCTCCACTCCTGGGGAGCTCAGTGCTTCTAGAGACGGCCTGCATGTTCTCAGACAGAGTGAACTCCTGATAAGCAAAAAATCTTTCATGGAGGATTTGCTACTGTCAAAGAAGGTAGGGAGTGCAGGGGAGGAGAAGAGAGGCTGCACAGAGCTGCACAGTCTGCCACCCGCCTGTCATCCAGACATCTGGTCCTCAGAGCCTTTCTCCTCCCCATTCCTCTAGGCATGGTCTCCAGGCTCACTTCTCTGTCCCTCAGAGTGTGGCAGTGACCCTAACCAGGGTCTGGGGTCCTCGCCTTGAGGCCAGAGCTTCTCAGACCTGGTTAAGAACTTACTTGGTCTAATGAGAACAGCTTTGAAATGTGCTAAGCTCCAGGGCTTGTGGCTAAGTACGGGAGGGGGTTCGAGGAAGGAGGGCTAAGGGGCAGGAGAGGTTGATGAGGAGGGTGGGAATCAACTGATACCTCCATTTTCTCGGCTGTCAAATGGGAACAACATCTGCTTCTTATGTGGGAGGAAGAAAAGCATCTGGAGCCAGACTGCCTGGGCAGCTGGCACTCTGTGACTTGGTGACTTAGACAGGTTAGCCATACTTCAGTTTCCTCATCTGCAACATGGGAGTCACTTCCTAGGGTTCCAGGACCCTGAGGATGCACTGAACTCATGTGTGGAACACACTGGGAGTGTGCTCAGCGCTTGTGCTGAGAATTCCACACGGGGCAGACAGAGGAGGATTGTGCTTCTTTGGTTTCTTCCTAGCACCCTCCCCCCAGTTTCTCTGTCTCTCTGCTCCTATGGCCCTGCAGGTGTGGGCCACCCCCTGGAGGACAGCCCTGCCCACTCACGCCCAGGTGGACCGGCCAGGCTGCATAGCTGGAGTTGCTCAGCTCAGCACCCCCAGGGCTGGGCAGAGGGTAGGAGGAGGCTGAGGCAGCCGCTGGGGACACCTGGTGGGCTGCCTGGGCCTGTTTCCTCACCTTTGGTCAGGCTGGCCCTTGGGGGCGTGTCTCATACCCACCTGCAAGCACAGGGAGGGGCCATAGTTGGGACCAGAGGACATAGGGGCACCCAGACTTGAAAGCATAAGCCTTTTGGCCAGGCGAGGTGGCTCATGTCTGTAATCCCAGGACTTGGGGAGGCTGAGGCAAGAAGATTGCTTGAGGCCAGGAGCTTGATACTAGCCTGGGCAACATAGTGAGACCCCACCTCTGCAAAAAATTAAAAAATATTGTTCAGGCATGGTGACATGTGCTTGTAGTCCCAGCTACTCAGGAAGCTGAGGTAGAAAGATTCCTTGAGCCCAGGAGTTCGAGGCTTCAGTGAGCTATGATGATGCCACTGCACCCTGTTGCAAAAAGAAAAAAAAAAAGAAAGAAAAAACACAACAACAAATAAAGCTTAAGCCTTTGAGGGCTACATACCACCCAAACTGACTCAAGTTAACCTCAGATCCTGCATCTGGCTTGGGGGATGGCAACGTGGGGCCCTGGAGGAAACTAGAGGCTCTTGGGCTGAGCCATGTGGTCCACAACCCCTAGGAGTTCACCGATAGAAGTATTAATATATGCTGGTATTATTAGTGCCCTTTGTAGTCCTGTGTACTATTATTTTATGCATTGAAAAAGTAATTTTGAGAACAGGCCACAGGTGTTCCAGACTGTGAAAGGGGCCTGTGGCTTAAACTTGGTAAGGAGCCCTGACCACATCCTCCATCTCGCGCATATGCGGGGCCAGGTCCCCAGGGAAGAGCAGCCCCAGGTGCAGACCCACGAGGAGATGGGCACTTTTGGAAGGGTCTTGTCCAGCCCCAGATGAAAGTGGCGCCCCCAGTGGACAGCCTGCAGCTCGCATCCCCCTTCTCAAGCGCCTGTGCCCTGCAGCCACCCAGGGAGTGTCCTACAGCCCTCTGCAATGCTCATCTCTGTCTCCACACGGTCTTAGGAAGGAGCTGACTCTAGGCAGGCAAGGCACAGGATTCAACTACAAATCCCTGTACCTCCATGAAAAAGCAAGCAATCTTTTACAAAAGTAATTGCCAAAGAAATAATCACTATCGTTAAAAAGTCCAGATCAGCCTTGCTCCAGGGCCTCTGCTCTTCCCTCCACCATCATATCCAGGCAGGTTTTCTGAGGGAGGGGACTTTGGGAGGGAAAAGGACAGAAAGGGCCAGAGAACTGCAGTGCAAAGGCGCACAGGCAGGGCTGGCTGAGCTGGGCAGGGGATGGGAGCCCAGTTTAACCACGATGCCACCTCTAAACGAGGCATTGGAGTGACAGGACAGAGGTGGCCAAAGAAAGAGCCATCAATGGCTTCAGAGTCCACATGACAGAAAGGCCTGGGAGCACCCCAGCTGCAGAACTGGGAGGAGTCAT